AAAATAAATCATTTTTTTTTAGTTTAAACTAATTGACTTATTTATATAATTAATTATTAATTTCAGGCATTGAATTATTGTAAAATCAAATCAGTAATGATTGTTTCTTGTTTTGGTATAACTAAATTCCCAGAAAATGGAAATTATGCAATAGTTCTTACTTATGCACCAGAGGGAAATTTAAGAGATTATATACAAAAAAATCATTATAATTTAACATCAAAAGATAGAATTACAATATTTAGTTATTTATGTAATGCATTATATCATATACATGAAAAAGATTTAATTCATTGTGATTTACATAGTGGTAATATATTATTGCAAGGAGGTGGTTGTTATATCACAGATTTTGGATTATGTGGTCCAGTTGATGAAAAATCATCAAATAAAATTTATGGAATTGTATCTTATATTGCACCAGAACTATTTAGAAGAAAAAAATACACAAAAGAAACTGATGTTTATAGTGTTGGGATGTTAATGTGGGAAATATTTGCAGGTCATCCACCATTTGATGATGAGGCACACCTACGCACAACTTTTTTTGAATGAAAATGGGTTTATTGTTTCGTCATTTTATCTTGTTTTCGTGCCTCCCAAAAATTTCAGTTCATAAACAAAGCTTCCCAGCAATAGCTATTGAAATTTCTATATAGCAAAGGTAAAATGGTTGGGTAGGAATTTAAACTTTTCCAAAAATCAAGACGAGTTGCGTGACACCGATCTCATGCAGGTTCAAAAACTCTATTTTTGGTACTGATTTACATAATAAAAAGCCGCTATATTGATTTTTGTGTATAATTAATATAAATAATGACAACCTTTGGATAAACAATTCGGTTTTGTTGTTGATGATAATATCGATCGGTCGGTATTAGAGCAGAGCAAGGATAGTTTGATGATATGTTGATATTGATGTAAATTATTAGTAGAATACATTTGTTGTAATGTCTACTTTTTGAGTTGAATGAACATTTCATTGTTGTTGTTGCTCATGATTACTAGCAGAAGCCATCTTGAGCTGGATTTGTCTTGTTTTCATCTTTAACCTTATTCACGAAACGTTTTTATTTTTTAGAATTTTGAATTTTATTTATTATTTTTTTTTTCGGAAATCGTTTCTAAATTTGCCAATTTGGTTTCCCTCATGATTATTAGTTATCAATTAATATTAATATATCTTTTGGTGGTCTATTGTACAAAGGTGGAAGTCTTGGTAATCAATATTAATATTAATATTTTTTGTCGACTTAATTGGTTTTTTTAAATTAAAAATACTTGAGTAATTATTTTTTTTTGTTTCATACATAAAAACAGTAAAGATTTTTCCTTATTTAATAGCACTTGTGTAACGGCCCAATAATTAAAACCGATTGATCCGAAACACATTGTAATAGGAATAAATGTACTAGTATAATAGTAATAATTATTATTTTTATACACGCCCATATTTAATATTAATGAATTTTATATAAAGCACACAGAAGTATTTTTTTTTAATTAATATTAATTCTTTCCCCTTTTTTTTTTCCTTCTTCCATCCAACTTTTTTTCATAATTTTCTTCTTCACTTTCTCCTCTTTAATTTCTTTTTATATTTTTACCAAACATATAAATAATATACTGTTTATATTATTTATTCGTCATAGCTCCTTTTCCATTCTTTTTATTAACAATAACATTAATCCATTTTTTATAATTTCGCTTGATGCGTAATTTGTAGATAGTTAATAATAAATAAACATAATCATAAATA